ACAGACTTTCCCCTGTAAACCTTTCCAAACAAGTCATGCTTGCTCAGTCTTTTTCTTTATTGTACTGTGATGAACTTTAACATTTAACATTCTAACTGAAGCCTGTGATGTAGTGCGAGATGTAGCTCTTGGATTTTTTGCAATTTCTCTGAGCATTGCACAGTCTGACCTTGGGCTCAATTTACCGGGATGTCTGCTCTTAGAAACAGCTCAACTTGGTGAATCTTTGTCGCTGTAGAATGAATGATTGACTTCAAATTGTTTAGAAATGACATTATAAATCTACCCATATTGATGAGCAGCATTGCTTCTCCAAGATCCCTGATGATGTCTGTATTAATGCACACCTGAGTGCTTCAGACCAGTAAGTTACCAAAACATCTGCTTTTATAGAGGCGTACACACTTGCTAATGACCAATTATTCAATTCAATTTGATTTTTAACACCTGGATACTTTCTATTGCAAGCTGTGTATACTTAATTTTCCACATGACATTCTTTATCACATAGATACTTAGACTGTAGATTGGTTGTTATATATGGGGAATACATACATTCATTTATTAACAGGATAAAAAAAACAATTAAAACAAATATGTTCTGTAAGTTTTTTCTGTTAATGCAACATGAGTCTAGATGTGTTGGAAAGCCCAAGGTCTCTCAAGCTGATTGCTTTTATACGTGTGTACCATGTTAATATTTTTGAACCCACATTGTCACAGGGCATGAATCATCTGTCTGTCTGTCAAATAATAGAAAAGAATATAATATGCGGTAAGAGTTTAAGGCCTGTGTGAATCCAGCACTTTCACATTTTCCCTAGTAGAAGGAGTCTTCTTTAATATTTTAAGAACAGCACACACCAGAGAGGGCCAGTGGTCAATTTGTTCCTCTGACAGACCATCGGGAAAACAGGCTTACAGAGAAGGTGACTTTCATCACAAACAGCTTTTCATCTGATCCTGGCAGATGTCCATCTATAAAGTATTCCAATGGCTGAGATCCTGGTGCCATGACATTTTTACCAAGTAGGCTCTCATTTTGTGAGATTTAAATATGAAAGAGGTGTTGTGATCGTCCTCTTATCATGCAGATACAAAACGGCTCCAGATAAATGTTTGTGCTCCACGGGGAAACTATTTGGACAAGAAACACTTTAGAAAGTAGAAATTTAAAAAGATGTCACACCAGGAAACATGTTTTTTAATTAAAATTTTTACTCAGTGTTTCTTTTTTTCATTCAAACAACTTCATAAGTTTTAGAAAAATATGGTTTGGATCAAAGTGCAACCATTTACACAAACATAAACAGACGTTAGAAAGTTCTTTTCTGCGTCACCAGAATGATGACTCATGATCCATCTAAAGGCTTTGGAAAACACAACACTTCTATAAAGATCCCAAAGTGACAACTTTTCGTTTTGCAACGCACAGTCTATCCTTCATGTGTTAATTATGAACGACAGAGTGCCACACTGACAGTGAATGACTGTCTTAATCTCACTGCCTGTTGTGGAAAATAAAGATTTGCAATTAAATGATTAGAAAAAATCGCTACAGAACAAGTTCACCTCCTGGTTGGGGAATGCACTGGTCAGCAAAAGTAATTAAGGCTAACCACACAGAGATAATGTTAGTGTTTATAACTGTCTATATCAAAGATGTGGTACACCTGACTTTATCATTATCTCTGTCTCAGATAATGTTCATATCAAAACCCCTCTGGCAGTTGTAGTAGTCCTCTGTGCATTTCATGAAGCCACGCTGCTGTTGTAAATCTTCTCCATTTCATTCCTGTCAGCTCCCAACAACAAAGGCTCATGCTTTGCATTTGTTCAATCCCAGAATCTACAACTGTCAACATCTCACATGTAATAATTGAAAGGGAAAGCTACACGGCCTTTGTAATAAGGCAGTAAAATATTTGTCTGCTTTGTTTATGACAATTATTAGACACTGAAAGGCGTGCATTTAGTTCATACTGTTGACTGCACAGATAAACCTTTGTGTGCATATGGGTGTGTGAGAGTGAAACAGAACATTTAATGCGTGCTTCACAAGTTACACACTAATGGAACAGGGCCTCAGTGTGAACCCACAAATGATCATTCTTCAGCTGTGTCACAATTGCCAAGTCAACTATGGTTTCCTGTGCGTATACCTAATAAGCATTGTGCCACTTGATTGTTAGGCATTTCTCTGCAGATGATCGATTGGGACATGTCGCTTGCTGCCAGTCTTGTAAATTCTGATCAAGAACTGGCTCATAATTTCGACAAAACAGAAAAGAGATCATGTTAGCGAGAGATAGGTGAAGAAGAGCGGGGGATTATGGATGTTTTAAGAAATAACAAGACAGACTAAACAAGTAGGCAGATGGGGTCATCACAGGATTAAATTAAGTTTGTTTTTCTTCTTTTCTTTCTTGAATCACACTTGACAAGCTTGTTAGAATAGAAATAATCACTTTGTGAGTGCAGTCAGCTTCTATTACATCTTACCAGAAGATTACGCAGAGGTAACATGAGATGTTTATAGTACAGATCACAGAAATCAATGCCTGCAGCACAGATTCTTTGTCTCTGAGAGCACTCTATAGAGCTTTAATCTAGTCAGCCACTGTCACCTCCTGCTGGGATAAGATGATCCACTGTTCAGCATCAGAGAGACAGAGACAAAAAACTATACATCTTATATATCTTTTTTTATGTTCCAAGAAATATCTGTGAAGGGCTTCGCTGAGAAACACAACTACGGTTTCCCCAAGATAACAAAGTGATTCACTCTCCCAGCCTGGATTCATTTTAGATTTAAAGCTGCACAACCAAACATTTTTGTATATCCAGCATATTTCATCACTGCATATACCATATAAAAACTCATAAATAATCAGTGTTTCACCCACAAATTTCATTTTATTTCCAGCACTCTCAAAACTTAAAAGAAGAAAAGTCAGTTATGAATAACAAAAACACAAGCCGATCTCGTCTGACATATCAATAATATCACCAACTGAACAGCTTGTTCAGTTGGTGAAGATGACCAAGAAAAAACATAAAACAAACCTTTTACAAACTCTTACGTGAACTTAATCCCTGGAAACTGGAAAGTATTTTGGGGATTTAGTTCACATAAATTCAGAGCATTTTCTGTCCAAATGGCACCTCCTTCTCTGTGCATACGAATACATACTGTCCTCCCATTTGCTAAAGTGACATCAGGAAGCACAGCCCTGCACAGAGATGAGACTGTGCATCCTCTCATCTTTGCAGTAAAGATGACTTCTTTCGTCTTTTACACATGCTGGTACTTACATAACTTTTAATCGGTCCATTGTGGTGAGGCTACAAGCAGCTGAAAAGACCTTGTTATTTTATCTTCCATGTTGTGTTATCTGGTTGAATGAAATTTTCAATTTTAATAAAAACCCTGTATTTAACACAAATATACACACATATACATTATACATATAGATATGTAAAATGTCAATCATATATATTTCACCTCTGTAATGTTCTGGATATTTATAATTGAGCTTAAACTGTAACCACATAATTTCCTTTGGGATTATTAACATGTTCTGATTCTGATACGCACTTGCTGACACAACTCACAGCTAATGAATTAGTAACATTACTGGATGTAAAAAGAGCCTCATGGAGAAGATAAGCCATTTACAAGTAAAGCCAGGGAGTTCACTTCTCTTTGAAAAATTGCATGTGCAACTGGATAAACTATTTGAGATTAACAATGCCCAATATAAAGTTGCAAAGAATTTGGAGATCTCATCATCTGCAGTACATAAACTAATTAAAAGATTCAGAGGATCTGGAGGAGATCTCTGATCACATGGGACAAGGACAAAAAACCTGTTTTGAATGATCTTTGAGGCTGTAGATTATTTAAAAATATACAATTGTTTAGTGGAAATCTCTTTTTGGCATTAGGCACACACTTTATAGCTAAACTACTCTGCCAAAAATAACCCAAAATCTACATAAATATAGTGCCTAACTTGAACCCAAGTTTATGGGTTTATTTATACAGAGATAGAGAGAGAAGGAAAAATCTTGTCTGCAGTCTTAGAAATCAGGTTTTGATGTTGTTTAGTGCACCACTTAGTTTGAACCACTCAGTCTTGTTTTTCTTTTTCTTTCTTTCTTTCTTTTTTTTTTTAAAAGAAGAAGTCTTTCTCATTTCAACAATATAATACTAAAATACACTCTGCATGCATTTTAGCGGTATGAATCTGTAGCAAGGTGTTAAGCTGGTCTGCCCAAAGTGCCCACACAAGTGACCTACTGAATATATTGAGTATATTATGACACAAAAACTCCTATAAAGGAGGTGCGAAACCTTTTATTTGCCTTCATAACTGCAGCAATTTCCCCCCTGAGTTCACACATGCTTACAGCCTGTTGTTAAGAGGTGATGCAACACCATGGTAACAGGTGCCTGTCAAGTTTCTTCTTTCTTTTTTTTTCTCTTTTTTTGTTGCAGTCCATTCCATCAAATTAAATCTGAGCACATATTTAGTTAAATGCCTGCATCCTGTTTTTATCCAGTGTTGTAACTTTTCTTTTTCCTAAATTAGGTTTTAGAAACTTTACCATATTCATTACCATTGCTTGACATTTGAAATGCTCTTCACATTTAATGAGAGCAGCAGACGGCCTTCAGCCCATATAAAGATTCCCCTTCTGCTTTAAGTAAATATATGCAAGAAAGAATGCATCGCTTTACTAAACCCTCACATTCTTGACTAAACCTACTCAGTATTTGCTAGCACAGTAGCCAATGATGTTATATTCACATAACATAAATAGTAACCTCATCATCTTGCAGAAATTCTTTAAAAAAAATCCAAATGCATCCACCCATTCAGTGGAACGTGTTGTAACAGCTGTGATATACATCTGTTTTATCGCTGTTTAATATGGTGTAGCCGTTCCATGTCTGAACCTTTGATGCAGTTCTTTTGTTGATGTTTTGACTGCAGGAGTCCACCTGGATTTACCTGTTTTCCTTCCTTGCATTGCCCGCAATGCTGCAGCTGTGTGTGCTGCCCTTCCTCCCTGAGAGTCCTCGCTACCTGCTGATGGAGAGGAGGGATGAGGCTGGAGCGGAAAAAGGTATTCCATAAACAACACTTAAGAACATCTGCAAAATGCAGTCCGGCTGACACAAGAGGCTTTGGTGTCTCATTGTGGTTATTATGTTTGAAAACTCTGCTGTTGCTCTTTACAACAACTACTACACATTACCACTCTTTTAGAGTTAGAAAAAATGTCTTAAGAAGTAAGACTGTCACTGTCACTCAGGTGACTGGAGTATATCTGCAGGGACCAGACAGAGTTTTTTAGTGAAACAGAAGTTCATGATTGCTTTCCCACTGGTGAGATTTGTGGCTTTTAGAGTGTTTTATGCTGTTTTCAGCTATTTCAGTGTACAGAAGACTAGCTACACAATTTTCACAAGTGAAAGTTTTGCTTTATATAAATACTAGGGGTGCAACGATACACAAAATTCAC